TAATATTTTTTTCTTAATATTTTTGTCTTAAAAAGCTATTCGTAAGTATCAAGAAAAAGAATGTTTTGTCATGTGTCTTGCAGTCATGCAGCATTCTGCACCTAACACACCATGGATTTGAAATAGACTGAAGAAAAGAGATCTGTTTGTATCATCTTCTTTGTAGATTTGTTCCTAATTTGTTATCAGAAGTTTTCTTTTCATTTAATCATTTTTAAATATCTGAAAAATAGATTGGAAAAGTGTTTAACTAGATTCATCAGAGCATACAGGAGTGTAGGAGTATTCCCTAGATATAACACAGTGTATCTTCATTTTTCATTTTGCACACAGTTCTCTGATTTAGGGATTTAAAGTTAAAACTGAAATAGTAATTGAACCTAATTTCAATTGATAAAATTAATCACATTATCTTTTAAGAGAAGTCTAAATTAAGAAAACGATGCTAAAAAGTGGCCAAATGTAAACCCAACATGTAATTAATGCCAAAAAGGAAAATTTCTGAAATATTAAGTATTCTATGAGATGTTCAGTATTTAATATTTTTCAATTGCTTACCTGTCATTTACATACACACAACGGAAGGACATTAGTCAGAAGGAATGAAAAAATGTATTGTTCAGGTAGAGGATATGTTGTCTTGTGCTTTCGGATAAAAGCAATGTCTGCAAATCCAGGAAGGCTTACAAGTTTTGTTTGTTTTTTTCTCTTTCTGCTTTGTCATACTTTCCTGCTGATTATTTTATACTGAGTATTTGAAAATACTATATTAAGAAAGTGTGGCATAATGCTGACATTCTTCTATTGCAAGTATTAAATCAAAAGTATTGATTACATGTCACTTTAAGCAAACAAGAAAAATCGAACCAGATTGTGGCTGCATGCTTTGGAGTTATTCCTGTGAGTTACAAATTACAGCTTCTCCTTTGGAAAACATGAATTAGTAAGAGAAAAATATTATTTCTGTGTGCTTCTTCCATGATAAATTAGTTCATGATGAATCCCATCCTATAGCACATTTTGTTAAAGAGCCCATGTGATCTTTTTAAAAAAAACTAGTTTTTTTCAGGCATTTGGTTATACTAGTTAAAAATATAGATGTAAAATACATCAACACAGGTGCATTCATTTGCAAATGAATTTTAAGTTGGTCTGCAGAATTCAGTCGGTGCTCTTTCCTATGTCTCTCCGTTCCTCACATAACAGTCTTAGCTATGGCAGTAGCTTACTTTACTTAGTGTGGGCAAGCTGTTCTTACAGACTTGTAGTAAGTCCTCAAAGCAAGAAAAAAAATTTCTCATCCCCTCAGCAAACTCTAAACTCTTTTCCCTTTTCCTCTTGTTTTAAAGTGATATGTTGTTAATGATTGCTCTATTTATTTCCTCTAGTTTCTTTTGTCTTTCTCACTATGGTATGGTATTTTTTTCCTAGTTGCTTTAAGATGCTCACCAGTGGGCATGTATCGCTGAATAACTAGGTGCAGGAACAATAGCTGTTTCCAATCTGGGTGATGACTGGGCATCTAGATGACCCATCATGTGAAATCAGTAAGTTGTAGGTTAGTCACTTTCATCTTGTATGCAATTGTAAATTTTGTGGGATATTTGGAGATGGAGATTACTAGCACTCAGTAGATATGCAATGTTTGCTCATACGAAGTTATTTTCCATTTTTGGATGAGTGCCAATTCTCCAAAAGATTTTAACATCACATTGGCTGTGAATCTGGAAGAAAAAAAAAATCTTAGCAGAGTTCTATCTGTATTAATAGTAACCCAAGCTGATAGTAGATGCAGACAGCCAAAACTTCTGAACACAGTTATGCTGATGTTGTAGAAAAACCTCAGTATACATCAAATGCATAATTAAGAGAGATAATATTCTGGTTGAAAGCCATTTGTGAGGTGTGTTAATGAAGAGAATATGTCATTCAGAAGAGTAGTGGTTATTCTGGTCCTCCTGTCTCCAAAAGAAGAAAAATTAATCTATCTGAGAAGAAAGCCTTAAATAACAGGCCAAAACTTGACTTTAGTCTTATCCCTTTGCTTACTCTCCTGTCTCCAGAGGGGCTACTGAAGTTCCTGGGATGCTGTGAAACTTCACTTTCATGTGAAAAGGTAAATTGGTTCCCTCCCAAATGAAGCACATTTCAAATGAGCCCAACTGTTTGGCAGTGGAGTTGGGGGAGGGAAGCTGTGAGGGGGCATTTGGTTTCTTCAGTTCAGTCACTAGCACTTGTTAAGCAGCTCAACTTCAGAGAGCTGTTTCCTCTCATTCCCTCCAGCCCTAGTTCACAGCTTTTAAAATGTGACTGTAAAATTTTCTTAATTCTGAAATAGTATCCCAGAAGCAAAGGGTTCACTGCTCAGTCCCGATTCATTTACGGTAAAGCAAAACTATTCTAAAGTAGATGTTGGCATTTTAATGGAAGAAGGAAGGCAGGAAGGGAGGGAGGAAGGCAGGAAGGAGGATTTTCTTTGACTTCCTATCCAACTAAAATCCTTAGTATGTTTTAAAGGTATGGAAAATTGTCAGTCTTTTTTTAGAGTAATTTTCTGCAGTTCCTGCTTTAGTGCTTTCACTTAGTTTGTTAATTTAATGCCTTACATTTTTGAGGGGGGAAGACCCTGTTAGGCATCTTTCAGGTCTTGATAACAGAAATACAAACCTCTGTTCCTAACCTGGGAAATCCTCCAAAAATCTCACAGGGAGCAGTTCAAATTATTAATGAATAAACGATGTGGAGAAACATAGCAAAAAGTCATATTTAGGGTAATATTTTGTTATGTTACTTCTGCACCCAAAGCTGTTTAAAGGCTCCTTTTGTGAAATGATAGCATAAATCTTTGATAGCTAGAAATCAATTATAGCCTGGGCTAGCATGCTACTGTTGTACAAAAAATCATTAGCAATCGTTGCTTTTAAATATACCAATATTATTTTGTACTATCAGGTAGACAGCTTTGAGATGACCAGAGGGTAATTCCCAGAGCTGAGATACTTCTGCAGTTACAGAAGGAGCTATAGCATCTCATGAAAATGCTGTTACATCCTCACCAAAAGGTCATGAAAGGAACAACTGTGATTACTTAGCCCTTTTTATTCAGAAAATTCTGTGTGATTTTCTGTGGTCAGAAGAGCTGGTGTTTGTTCTGACAAGAGCTGTAAAGAAAGCTAGCCCATGGAAGCAGCATATCCCTTGGCTGTGCAGTCAGGTCCTGCCCTGACAAGGAAAATGGCTTGTGTCTTGTAATGCTTTCCTGCCACTCATGGCAGGGGAGGGGGAATATGCTAGACAGGCCCATCAGGTAGAGAGGAGAAGCAGTTTGTCTATGGGAATCAAAACAACAGACAGTTTTTACAGTCTGTGGCCTTCAGTCCTGTCCTCTCTCGCTATTGAGCAGTTGTTCTAACCCACCTAACGATGGGGCCAGAATGGTTTATGTAGTCTGCTGTGGGCATGCCTTCTGTGTGCGAGCAGGGAAGAGTTTGTGCATCCTGGTGGGCTGGCGTCAGACGAGGGGACTTCTCTCCTTTGCCATAGTGCATCTGGAATTCAGCTGGGCAGGTTGGTCATGGGCAGAATTAAGATTTTGGCCATTTAGCATGTGGTAAGGGATCCTGTTCCAAAACACGTCAGCTGGTAGGAGGATTTAGAAAGACAAAATTTGGCAGGGGGAGTTGAGGCCACCCATGTCTGCTGAAGCAGCGGAGCAGCTTCCTGTACATTATTTCCCACTCACATTTCACTCTTCCCCTTCAAAGCTTTATGAAAGATGGTGGCAGAATCCCAGCAGTGCCTGCACTGTTTTGGGTGCACTGGTGGCAGGAACAATCAAGGAACACAGTGTGGTTTTATTGCTAGGTAGTGTTTCCAGATGACAGTGAAGTCTCAGGCTAATTAAACCACAACCCTCATGTCTCTGTATGGCTGGGACAATAGAGACTAGCTCTTGTTTTCATTCAAATGCTAGTGTAATCTGACAGGTGCATTATGTGCATGCCTAAATCAATAAACAGTAAAGGGAAATACCAAGCTGCCATGAAAAAGAGATGGAACCATGAGAAATATTTCAATTACTGTATTTTGGACCTCATGAGTGATTTTGAGACATAATGAACTAGGAATGTGCATTGAAAACACTAATACTGCTGGAGTTAAAACTGAAGTCATACCCACAAAGCAAGCTTTTTTGTTAAATATATAGGGCAAAAGTGAGAAAAAAAAGTAGTATTGTTGGTAGTTTAAAAAGTTTTATTTGGGGATGATCTAAGCTTAAATTGATTTGTTAATTATAAAACTTTATGGCTCATTAAATTAGTCATGTTCAGAAAAGTAAAATATGAATTTAATTTTCTCTTACCTGCAGGGGTGCCTTCACTCTGCACATTATTTAGCTTTTGTTACATTTTAAAAGAAGATATTTACCTGTAGTGACTGTGGAAGTTGATGGTATATTCCTAGTGGTGCTGTTATAATACTCATGATGATGACTGTTTTAAAACTATGTAATAGCACCTGCTTTTCCAAATACTACATCTGTTAATAGTTGCATTTTACTAGATTTTCCTGTGGTTATCTCAGTGGACTACTGCAAGTCTGGAATGTGTGCTTGTGAAAAGCATGGCAACATGGCAAGAGTATACCTTACACACATTACTTCTAAATATCCCAGGAATTAATTGTAGTATCTGAATTTTAGCTGCAATAAAGCTGTAAGTTTTTGTTGACATTATGTGGTGTGTGATGTTTTAGTAAAACTACACAGTGTAGTTTCTTATCATGTTTGTAAAAAACAGACTGAGTAAATTTGTGTGTATAATTCACAGCTGTTTAAAACTAATATGGCGTATGAGTAATATGTAACCTACTGGACTAATACCAAAGAAGTGTACACTAAGAGTTGATTCCCTGCTTTATTTAGTTGCTTACATAATTATATTTTAACAGTTAGGAATGTAAATAAATACTTTTTGATTGTGTTTTATTTTCTTCAACAGGACACTACAAGTATAGAAAAAATGTCAAACTGTTGTGAAGAGATGTAAGTGCTGTAAATTTTCTATATTTATTTGCTGAAAAGCTAAAGGAGTAGCTGTTGTTTTTAACTCTGTGAGAAAGGAAGTAAAGGCACTTTGTTAAGATTATTTTGCATGGTACTGTGCCCTGTAATTCCTATCTCTAGCAGCAGCTCACTAATCTTTTAATATTGGTTGTACACAAAGTAACCTCACGTTATTCCTATTCCTTCCCTACTGACAGCCAGTGGAACTATATTTTCTTTCAAAAGTACAGATCAAAAGACTCTTTCTGCTGTGTCTTGACATACATTTCACTGATTCTGAGGTTCTCCTCTGTTTCAAAAGTTGCCTTTGGTTGATTGGCGACACAGATAGTTTCTGTTCTCCAGAGTTAAGTCTCAGCTGCGTGCCGTAATGAAAGAAAAGCTATGTTTGTGATGCTGGGACACAATTCATCAGAGTCCAGTAATGGATCCCCAGCCAACCTTCATTGTTCTAGCTGACTGAAGTGCACCGTGGGCGTGCTGTTTTTCACTAATAATGCTGTCTTCTGTAGATCGAGGCCCCGAAAGCCATGGCAGCAGACCTTCTCAGAAGTTTTTGGCACTCAGTGGAAGATCCTGTGGTTTATTCCTTTCAGGCAGAGGCAACCACTGCGAGTTCCCTACCACTTTGCCAATCACGTCTAAACAGATGGATGGTGGGCACAGATGGGTCCTCCATGCTGGAAGTGCATTACAGGTTTTATGATAATAGGACTATGACAGTCTTCAAGTCAATTAAAATCCACCCACCAATCATAGGCATCACAATGTGCCCCAGGCTTTATTTTAATAGTGGTCTTGATTCTGCTCTGAGATTAATGCAAGTTGTATGTTTAACTTTAGGCATATTTACTTTCAATTAGCTTTCCAAAGGGATTTCTTTTGTCTTTTAGGTTAATACCAAAGCTGAATGACTGGAATGCAGTCTTACTCTATTTGTTTGATACTGGCTCTTTTGATTTTTTTTTTTTTTGGTAGAAAACACTGAAGTTTACATTGATTGTTAGCTTTCCCACTGAGTGTTTTATTCGGTCTTGAATTTTTTTCAGTGCTTTTATCAGTAGGTCTGTCTAGATAATATTAATGTATTTTTTGTGCTACATGTGTTTAAAATTCCCTGATACTGCCATTTATTTATGATAGTAATCCTGCAGCACTCCACTATAAAAGGTAACATTTAAAACTGAGGCAGACTTCTTCCTAAACCTTTCTCAGAGATGTTTTTATAAATACATGTAAATGTATGCGTTCATATAGAAAAATCTTACATCTTACAGTTATCCTTCTGCACAGATGTGATCTTAGTGAAAAATATTCATGTCTTTATGTCAACAAAAGTGATTAAATGTTCCAGGGTAAAATATACAGACAGAAAGCATGTTTCCCCTGTACCCCAAGGATTTCTTTGCAATAATTCTACAAAAAGGTTGTATGGTGCAAGTACTAGAGTGATAACTTCTTAAAAATGCAGATTTAATTAGTTAGCATAATGTACCATAAAGAAGAATATATTGTCAATAAAATTATAAATTTTGTATTTACTTTGATTTAATAATGATTATCTGGAATTGGTCTAAGTGTTTGTATATGGGAAATATATGTGAAAATACTTTAAAAAATTTATACACAAATACAGATATTTGCTATTAACATGTGTAGTGAAGTATATTAACTGATTTAATAGGGAACTATAGCTTGTTGTGCGCCCTTTAAGTATGGAAGTAGTTAACCGAAGAAAGCATCCTTAAGATTACATCTGCTAAAATGACAATGATGCCCAAAGTACTGGCTCAGCTTTGCTGTATCTGGAAAAATGATGTAATTTATCCTAGCCTTCTGTATCTATACAAATATCAGCATGAGATGATTTTTGAAAGTCCTGTGAATTTTTATGAGAAATTAACTGCTTTCAGTGTTTTCAGTTATATGCTGCTTACTGTGTTTGTTGTCTAGTCTAACAGGACTAGGATCCACCTTAAATGACAGCCATGCAACAGGATTATAGTAAAAGCCACAAAATCAGCATGTAATATACATAGATTGTGGTTGGAGAAAGTAATTGTGAACAGTTCATTCAAAAAGAAGGGATGGATTTGTCATGAGGGCTATTCATAATTAATTTTTTCATCAGCTCATTTATAATTTTAACAGTCACTGCCAGTGTTGGGTGTCCCTTTATTGAATTAACAGATGGTGATGATCCATTGAAAGTTCAAAAAGGTGCATCTTGAAAATCACTTGAATTTTAAACTTTTGTAAATTTCTAACATTTGAACCAACTTTACTTTCCTTCTTTTAAAAATTGATGCAATATTTCCTTCATTTAAATTTCAAGCCCAATGTTCAACCATTTTTTTACATGGCATTTTTAGAAGTGAACTTAGACTTTCTTTAAGATGGTATAGGCAGCAATATTTAAACAAAGGAGCTTGAGGAAAGTGGATGGAAAGGTTGGAGCGATGCTTGAAATTAAAAAGAATGTGCATATACATTATCAAGTAATGGCTATATTTGCCTTTTTTTTTTTTTTTTTTTTTGCTAAGGAATGCCAGTATTATAGTCTGTGAATCACACAGGGAAATAATAGAAGTTTTATGCGCCAATATTTAAATCTGTTTCATGAGCAAAGCATGGTAGTTAAGTTTTTCATGCTAATCTACTATCGCAGCAGATCATACAGTTCTGAAGCTTATTAAGACAGTCAAGAATTTAACTATTCTTGATACGTTCGCTGTGGGAGCACGTAATTATTCTTTCTGGTTTCTAGTATCATTGTTCCAGTTAATTTAACCGTGCATGGAGAACCAAATCTGCAATACCGAATCTGCTCAATGGTGGTACGCTTAGACATAAACAGCGTGTTTCATTTTTGTACCTGATACACCACGAAGAGGCGGGACAATGACATTTCGCCTGCTTTGTGTGGATGACCACCCACGGGCAGCCCAAGCGTCGTGCGCTGCTACACGCCCGCGCTCTCAAGCACAAGGTGGAAGGTGGTAACACACCTAAGGACCCCGCGCCGACCGTTGGCCCAACCGCCCGCGCTGACTGGGGTGTGCGGCCCCTGTGCGCTCTCCACGCGCCCTCTGTCGGCCATCTTGCGCCACGACGGCGGGCTCCAGGCCCGGAGCGGGGGCGGTGCCCGGCTGAGCGCGTCATGATGACGCGCTGGGCATGGAAGGGAGGTGTGTTGGGCGGGTTGGGGTGCGCGTCCCTGGTAGTGGCGGGGCTGGCCTCTCGGGGCGGGAGCACGTCAGCGGTGGGCGGGGTCTGTGCTGCGTGGCCGTGACGGGTTTCTGCAGGAAATCTTCAGAACTGCTCGACTTTCCTTTCTAAAATTCAATTGCAAAATTAAAAATTAAAAATCTGAAAATTCTGAGGTGCTTACTTAAATGACCAAAAGAAGAACCTTGAGGCTGAAGCATTAGTTATATATTTAAATAGATGATGTACGTGAAAATCTTGTCTGGTTCTTAAATCAAAATAATAATTTCACAGATTAACATTTTCTCAAATGTTTTGGCATTGTTGGATTTTTTTTTATTATTTTTTCTCAGTCTTCTGTTCATCCTCACCATTAGGAATCAATATGCAATACCATTAAGGCAGCTACTTAATTTTTTATCCCATTTCAGAGTATGTGGAGGAGAGAAGGGAGAATGTGGAGAGGCTTCATTTTCAGAAGGCACTGAGCTTTGTTCTTTGAATGACAGGCCTCTAAAAGTGTAAAAGTAATACAAATATTTTTCAAAATTCTAGCCAATGACCCTATCATGGTATTAGTTTATTAAATCAATGTTTCTGAAACTGATTCTCAGAAGAGTTGTTCAAGCAGGAAGAGATCAGGTAGATTTTTATGATCTAATCTGAAATCCTTTGAACCTTGAAATCCTTTGAACCTTTACTTTGAAATCCCACTTCCTTCCCTCCAGCTCTCCTTCATGATCTTTTATTTTAGTAGAAACTGCATTCTGAAGACTAATTAGTGCTTGTCGTTATTAATTTAAAAAACCTTATAGACAGTATTAATGAATTTCATCTTAATCCAACATCAGAACTACATATGTTTTATTAAGCACAGTGGATAAGTGCAGTGGATATTAGCTATGAGCTTAACTGTATTTGATTTCCTGAGGGGTACAAAGAGAAGTCAAACCACGAATGAAAAATAAGCTGAAAACATTTGAAAATACCTGGTTTATTTGCAGCATGGTGTAGCATGTGGTAGGACTGAACCATGCTACCTTGCTATCTTCTTATAATATCTGTTCATCTGAGGGACCACCCATCAAAGAGCTGAGACACGCAGTCATTTTCAATCTTGAGAATTCATGAGTAAGAAACTAAGAATTGAGTGGTAGGATGGATTTTGAACAAGGCAGTTTCTTTGTTTTGAATCTAAAATGGGCTAATATGAGTGGAAGATTCATAAAAGCACAGAGAAAATGGAGATGGGGTCAAAAGAATTGTTTGGATTTGTTACCAAAGTTTACTAAATGAAGTGACATTGCAAAGAGTGGGAGTTACACAGCTAAATACACGTTATATGATGTTGTTCAGTGTTCATCTTACAGTTGTCTAGTTTTATTCAGTAAATGATACTTTTCATAAATTACAAATTCATGCTTTCTTTTGTGCTGTAGCAGGCCATTGTGTGCCAACATAAGGAATGTAGGTGGCAAAAATAGAATTTCTGCAGTACTGTGAAAGACAGTGTTTTTCAAGTAAACTTTGCATTCAGGTGAAACATATGATAATGAGTTTTCTGGTAATGTGAAATTCTAAATTAACATAACATACTTTTTTTTTTGGTAATGCATTATTTATTGTACTTGGCCAGCCTTCCTGCCAGCAGTACATCACTTATAGCAGAGTGTTTTTGTCACATATTTGAGGGTACTTCCACTTAGATGTATTATTTAACTTGGCTATCTCCACACTTTATATTCACCATGCATTCGATTTTGCTGCAGCTCACAAATAAGAAGCCAATTTAACTTTGTTGGAAGAACCATATCACAAAGACAAATACTATTGAGTGTCGTTTCTCAATAAACCAACTGGAAATATCATTTCATTCCTTAAAATTGTTTTCTTTGTATGGCGGAGTCTTGATCCTTCTGGACAAAAATTATTGCTTATTCTACATACATTCCCATCAGTAATACTGTACTAGCCCTTCTAAACTATTTGTCAAATAAAAACTAAGTGTACTTCCTGAAGAATAAGAGTTCCATAAAACAATGTGGATATTGATTAGTACCACCTAGTACTTCTTATTCAATCCTGTACCTCTACAGTTGTTACTTGTCCAAGCACAATAAATTGTTATTTTAGTATTGTGTATAAGAAATACACTTTTATTTATAGTCTTCTATATGATTGAAAGTGAACTTTCAGGAGACAAAGATACTGTTCTGATTTTTGCACTTCCAATAATTTTTTAGCTTTTGTTTAGCCACAAAGTCTCATATCTGATGTTGAATTCTGTGGACGAAGGTTTGAATCTAATGAAGTGATCCAGCTGAGCACTGTAGCTGTCCAGCAGTGCCAATAAAAATAATCCTAGACAGCTTTGTACATACATAGCACAAGTCCTATGTATACACCTCTGAGGGCCTGCCCCTTCTCAGCCAGACCATTTCTCTCTGAAAGGTTTTTTCTTTTCTGTCCTCAGTTTAAATTGCTGCTAGTGTACCTGATAGCCACTTTGTAGTTCTCTGTTAGCTCTTACCTAGACTGAATGAGTAGTAGGCACATGGTGTGCTTTTTCAAGTCCTGGTAGGCTTCCCCTTATTATCTTCCAACTGCATCTGGTTAGTAGTCAGGTAAGAGGTAGACGCTCATTTTACCACCCTTTGAGATTACCCCTTGATGGCCCTTAAGGTTTTCTGGTGTGCTAACTAGTGTGAATCCTTGAAGGACCTTTGAAACAAGAGGTCCCAGATCTCCAGAAGCTTACTTTGCAGTTTGTGTTAAGTAGATGACTTGCTTAAATTTGGCTAAGTTAGTTTTCTTGCTGAGTAGCTGATTCTTGACATTAATTACGTTATGAATTTTTGTGTTTGAGAAAGAGGGAGTTAAATTTAAAAGCAACCTCAGCCAGTATCTCAGAGGTTGAAACTGCAGGTAGCGTCTCCCATAAAATCAGGATGATAATGACTTCTCATTCAGCTCTAGATCTTTTGTCCGAAGTATTTGCTGTTTGACACTCAGCATTTCAGTAATATGTCTATGTAGTAGAAAGGGTCAATATGGAGTGCAAATGAGAATGTTTTCAAGAAACATTTGCTTGACCTGGGAAGAAATTCTGCTTGTGAGCAATCACCATTGTGATTTATGTAAGAGATCAGACCTTTCTTGGCTGTACTTGTGTCTCATTTACCCAGACAAAATCAGTTCTGTTGTCATGAATTCTCTACCATAGCAAAGTTACTACCTTGGAAGAGTTCTCTTCATTCCTCTGCTCACTTTCAACTTTGACGGCTCTTTTCCTGTCTTCTCACCGAGCACACAGCAGCATAGAGTAGTCCTGCCTGTAGTCATGTTCGCATTGTCTTGGCCAGAATAGACACTGTGGTAGAGTAGCCTGGAAAGGTGTGGAAATAAGAGTATTGGTTTGATAAAAAAAAAAAAAAAAATTCAAATTCTCTGGTTCCAGTTGGGTTTGGGTTGAGAGCAAGCAGTTGATTGCTTAAGATATTTGAAATCTGTTATGGATTTTATACACTGAAATATGCAGAAAGAAGTTTTCACACCTCCTTATGGGTTTTGAACAGGTGCTGTCTTTTTTTGCAGTAATAAAGCATAGCTGGAGCTTTTTGTAACCTTAAGCATTATTTTGTATATAATTCAGGTTGTTTTTACCTTGTTGCCTGAGTCAGTATCTCCTAACCTAAGCCAGTTCATGCAATCTTCTGGTGTTGCCACGGGTACCTTTAGCAGATGGAAATGTGTGGCTCTTGTGTCAAGAAATAACTTTTAAAATCAGTCCAGCTGAGACACTTGAATTCTCACATACTTGGAATTTTAAGAATAAATCTGATCTCCCATGGATCAGTCCTGATTCAACAGATGAAACTGTTTAAAAATGTGTGTTCTGAGATGTTCTTCAGATAGTCCTGCTTTTTTACTCATTATTTTATAAACACATGGTTAATAAAGCATGAAGTGAGATGTCATGACAATTCAGATTGTCATTCACATTCCGGATAATTCAGTACTCACATGCACATTATCATATTCAGGATAAAACAACTAATGATATTGATATGGCAACTGAGATATAGATGCAATCTTGCTCTATAGTCACTAGAAAATTATATAGGTAAAATACAATGCTAGAAATATTTGTCTATATAAATTATTTAAAATGCTTGATTAAGTGAATGTACTTATTTGAAAATACACAGACATTACAAAGGAAGAGTTCAGTGCTGTTTAAAGTTATTTAAAACAGATTACATGTGACAAATTCCTGTTTGGTATGCTGTTTATATCAAAATATAATTATCATTGTTACTACTATACAGTGTGTCAGGCACTTCACTTTCATGTTGACTTTTATATATGTGCTTTTTAAGTTTAATAGTTTTAATAGTTAAGAGTGCAGAAAATATACTGGGAGTTGTCTCCTGCATTAGCAGAGATACATTTAATTAATTCTCATGCAATAATAAGTTGAATCTAATTCTGAAATAGTCAAAATATCAGGACTTCAGAACTGACAGTGATGGCAAGTGATTCTAGGGATTGCTTTCAGGGAGAATCACTATTTCTAAATACAGTGTCTGTACTTCTACAACATACTGCAAAGTGAATACCTCAGAATGTGGTGTTCTTCAAAAGATTTTTGTACCACTTTCTCAGTGGCTGAGTGTTTGGACTTCAAGACTCATTGAAGTACTTGTATGTGTGAGCTGAGTTAGGCCTAGGACTTGAGTCCTGCTGAAATTGCTCAATGGCATCTTCTGTCTTGTCAAACTACAGCAAAGTGATTAAAGTCAGTTGTTGCAACAAGGGTCATCTAAATATTGCCTGTATAACTGCAAGAATAATTCAGATTTACAGTAGAACACGTGCTTTTTGAGCTAGAAAACATGAAACTTAAGTTGTAATTTATGCACGGTTCTGGGTGAATAAGTATTTCTATACTCATTCCCAAGACTGATATACTGCAGATCATAGTGTCATTTATAGATAGAAAATTATCACTCCATCTCCATAACAGCTTCAGTCTAGGTGCTAGGTATCAAAATAATACCGATTTTTGTAAATTAGCACTCTGAATTTTGTAGTTCACACATGGGCATGTGATTGAGTTTTATTAATTTGTTCTTTATTTGATCTTGACTGTTTTCAAACAATGCTGAA